TATAGTGCTAGCCCACTGAGATACCATGCCGCAGTGAAACATGAATACCCCACTCAGACACATTATACTGACTCCGAGCCGACCAGTCCTTGTTGTACCCATTAATGCCGAGCGCCAGGCAGGGACCAACAAGTACCATATTTTAACGTCTTTTGGTATGACGCGGTCGGGGATCGAACCCGCGATCTTCCGCTCTCCGGGCGGACGCTCTAACCACTACACCACGGAGGCGGTCTCCTGCAGATGAGACTTCCATGTTTTGCTATGCTTTACGGATGTCAAATAAAAAACGCTCCGGTCAAATTCTAAATAAACACATAAAATACATGACATTCTGAAGATTATTTCTGGAATGTTATAAAAGTGGGGATCTTTAGAAATGGCATGACACTTTACACTTTCGATATAAGTGAAACAATTACCACTGGGGACTATTGTGTCAGGGAAACCTCGGTCAGGTCATGACATGAGTAAAACTCTGCAGGAAAACAAGGTCACATTAAAAGGCTCCAGTCGTCGAAATGTGTGGGAATAAATCATCTAATGTCGTGGCATCCTAAATCAAATTTCGTTTTATTTCTCAATGCGCATTATACTACTTGGTTCTCTTGAGACATGGTGTCAGATTATAAAAGTAATGGTTTATTAGTAAGTGATTAATTGAGCGACCATAATTGAATTAATTTCTGCAAAATGTTGGACAGTTTTAAAACTGTGAAGTATTTGATCCTTATCAATGTCCTTTGCAATGGTCATCAAGTCGGCCGTAATTGTACATTGATGAATTAGACTTTGAAGGTAATTCCAAACATTTCTAAATGTCACGGGATATGTGTGAATAAGCATCATTAATGTATTTTTCGGACTTTCAAAGTTGGTGGGTCAGATTTGTGTTTCAGAATAGGCTTGTCGAGCTGAAGGTGAAGGTTTCATTCGAAACATGGGAAATATATGAAGCCATGTCTGGTTCTCCCTGCCGAGTTATTGCTGGAACATGTTGAATACGACATCAGGCTTTACTTACTGGACTATCCTCAATATATACATGGAATTTTGATTATTGACAACAGTTTTATGTATCAAAGGCAAGTCAAAGATGGGACAGATGCCTTTTTAGAAATAGTGCACTATGTACTTAAAGTTTCCCATATCAAATTCTGAAGACTCGTTAACCTGAATGTGCAATTTATGCCAGTCAGAATCTATTGTATACTTTACGAAAGTTGACAGTGTATGGTATACGAAGGTGTTTACTGGTGATTGCTCCCTTGACGTGCCTCCTCAGATCTTTAATGGCAATGGTGCTATGTTGTCTGTGTTGGTCTGCAACTACAGGGATAGAGACAGAGATACGTCCATCTGTGATATATCAATGTCCTAAACCAGATGAAACCATCTTCAGTTACGCCTGACACTGATACAAATTCCTACTCCATACTCTATATACTTACGCTGATATGGTTGGAGTTTGTATCTGTCACGATCATCCCTAATAGCTATCGATCATGGTGTGTTTCCAGATCAGGCGCCAGGATAGTGGGTAATCACTCTATTCCGGGGCTACAAACGATGGATATGATGATGATATGTATCCCTGTGAAATTGACATGATTATATGGTATGGTTTGCCCAACGTCCCCATGACATGGTTATATAGTGCGGTTGGCTCACGAACGACTCCACGCTTTTATTCTAAGGCTGAATTCGAACTACCGTATACTGCAGCTGTCATATGTCTGAGTACGCATTGTCACCTCGATAGCACCTTCCGTCGATTTCTGTTAGAATTTATCATGCACGGTCGTTAAAGGCGGCGTCCATTTTGGGTTCGAACCCAAGCTTCGACCTTCCCTTTCAAGAAAGTGGTAACTAAACTTTAAACAACCTGACTACCATCGTGCTTTCTAACCACGTGAAACTAACATGGCATGAAATAAACATTGTTTCCTGTTTTAATCAGTGTCCTCTCTGTTGCTCCCATGTGCATGTTGTGGCATTTTGACATTGATATCGAATGTTGCCAGAACAATGTAACTGTTCTCTGAGTTTAACCCCTCAAAGATTATGAACTCTCGATGGGACGAACAGAAATACATGAACACAACAGACATGCACTTGCCGACTCAAAAAGTTATTTAATGACAAATTCTGTTTGGCAATTTCGAGTCTATTTGCTTATGTGTGTCCGTTGTACCAATGTTGTGAAGCGACACAATCCGTACTTTTATCGGATAACGTGACATCGTTTAGGTCACTCTCTGGCGGTTGTCATTCATAAGTATTAAGTAAACATCAAAACTTGATACCACGGTGAATACTTTATGGAAGGAAACTGACACGCTGTAAATTCAGTGTTGTATAATATAGACCTGCCATTATAAAATTACAACAGAGGAACATCCATTTTTCATCTTCAGATAGATTGGCTTCTGTTGCTTTTGACTATGGACATGATGCGACATATCACTTTTGATATTCAATTCGAATTAATGTAAAAACTTCAGCGTAGTGAGATTATGTACCTTTATAAATGCTTGGACAATGTCTAGACTTTACAGCTGTTGGGGCTATTCCATTAATGAAAAATTCAAATCATATGTTGGAGCACCTTTTGATATAAACATATCAGAGTCAAGCGCCTATGCATTACCCATACAACACATGAAAATATGCCATTCTGATGGCATAACAATAGCATCTACAATATACACAACAACATTACATTTTTGTCTTGAACGAGAACACTGTGTGTACGCTACTGTTGTTTCATCTTGGCCTTTGTTTGAAGCTGCACAAAATCTGAGACCCGCACGCGTGTTGTTGTTTTTGTTGTTTTTCTTTATTTCGTAAGTGTAAGTTCGTACTGTTGGATATGAGGTTCTTTAGTGACCCTGTACACACAGGACATACATTTGGTGAGATATCTAGGACACTAAACGAAGTTGATCTACAGCGGGGATACCGTCGTTCCGAGTGACCGAATATGGGGTCGAAGTTGAAAGGCAATGTTAAATTTTGGTTGTTCTGTATTCCATGCGTTGGAATTACAATGAGCCAGAAATCCTTTTTGTCATAGTTTTGTTTTTTGTTTATTTGTTTGTTTTTGTACGCTGCAGGAACACTTTGTTAAAGTATCTGCACAATAATGTCAGGAATGCCCATGTCTAGACATACATTAAAACTCAACCGCTTTCGGTTTGGGATGTTAAATGAACAAAGTTATAATTATACTTGGATAGTCGTGTCTAATGTGCGTGTTAAATATAATATCCTTCCACATCAGCAGAGTTTTCAACAGCAATAAGTATACTCTAAGGGCTTGTGTCAATGGCGAAATTGCAACTTCAGTAGAGAGCAACCTGCCCGAAGTTAAATAGCCGCCGTGAGTGGTTGGTCAAGGTCTTGATTACATGTGTGACGTTAAGAGCCAAGAGCGGTTTTGAATGAGGACTTCTTTATCTTCAATATTTCCCAAATGATCTTCTTCATGATACCGCAACAGTTACCGATGTTAATGTTGGAACCTTTGGACAGAATATGCTCATGTCATTTGTGATCAATCCAATTTCAGGTTGATGTAGGTTCCATGTAATTACTGGAAATGACCAGATGCTATTCTGTGCTATTTTTGGATAACCTAATCCCTTAAGAGCTTGAACTTTTGAGTCCTTATCTTTTCACACTGAATTTCGTGTGAAGCTATCACAATCGATATACATTGATACTGCATCTGTCTGTCTGTCCATCCGATACATCAAGTACAAGCCAGTCTGGGCAGCATCAATGTCCAGTTATAACCCGACATCAGCACGGGGATGAAATATACGTTCTCAGAATAGCCAGGTACTCTCTATAATGTACTGATAACAATAAAGAGCAAACTGGTTAATAACCCGTATTAAGTGAGTGAGTGAGTGAGTTAAAATGTATAGTCACATCGGCAATATTTCAGCCATATTGTGACTTAAAAAGTTATAAATCAACAATAAACACCTTTACATTATAAAACACATGTCGACAAAGGACAGTAAAACAAATAGGTTATCACAGGAATAAATTTAAGACTAGTAATTAAATCCAAAATATTTTACCTATAAACGACAATACAATATAAAAACCGGCTATAGATTGCCAACAACTGAAGGTAGATCACCATACTAGGGACAATGGGGACTTACAGTACACTTTGCTTCCTAACCCGTATTAAGGTGCAGCTGACTGTTAGGAATTGATGATGTATATACATGTCATTTTAGTATTCCGAACAATCTACCGGGATCTCCAGCATGACGAGCGAACGCTCAACCACCAGGATACCTCACCGTCCCCTATATATATACATGTGACTAACAGCTATATAGAACAAACTGTGGAATCGCCAGTTTATCTATTAGCTATTAGAAACTGATGTCGTATATACATTTAAATTTTGCGTTCTGAACAATATGCCGTGTTTTTTTCAGTTTTCCCAGTCTCAGTTAAATCATATTCACATAAGCTACGTTTATGGAGCTGTATACACATTGCAGCAAATTTATAATTCCAATATCAAAGCTTCCGTTCTCACTTCAGACTCAAACTTGATTTTATACAAGGAATGATGTGTTTAGACATTTGAAACAATATTCAGCTATTTTAGTTACATTTCTGGAAGTACTTTAAACAGCAAGATTTCTTGTGAAATAGTGCCATTTTTTAAGTCAGGTTTCATTTGGAAATCCTTTAAAAGCGACAGTCACTTATGTTTCATTTCACATATAACACAAAGTGTTGAGAAAGATTCGTCAGTTTCCACAGTCTTGTAGTCATTGATGAAGAAATAACTAAACGATACAAGCAAGTATTTATGTCAGCTTTAAAAAAACAACACAGGAACACTATGTACAGTAGATATATTTGACAGAAGATGCCATTGCGTATTGTCTGTGAATTCCCACTCAACCATGCCATTAAAAGTTTAGTGAGTGAGTGAGGGAGTTAATATTTGGCTTCTTATCGGCAATATTTCAGCCATATCGTGACAATTTATATATTAACATTAAAATCAGTAAATTTAAAACTTAAAATCTGTCATCGAAGGACAGTAAAACTACTAGAAAATCACAGTTCTTAACTTAAAACTAGTATGGTATCATAAACACATCTACGATGGATCTTTTTTATAATGTTAATCATCATTTTATTATCGAATTTTTAAAAGAGATAGAATTGATAGACAAATTTTGGTCAATATGTTTTGTAAATACCCGTACTTTTATGATTCGTTGTTCAGATTAGTAACTGAGATTGTTATAAAGTGGCTGTATCCTCCAATGGGGGTTAAAGTACTGTAAAATTATTGTCCTCCTGAGAGGATACGTAAGTCCCAAGATATTCACGGAAAATGTAACCTACCACATTATTTAAACGTAGGATATATGTTATTTTAACTTAAGGCTAGATTTGTCTACAATCGCTAACATCTGAAGGGACGGTGTAAATCCAACTAGGGTCTATGCAGGTAGCAAAGGTATTGTAGGTCCCCACGGTCCCTAGTATGGTGATCTACCTTCAGTTGTTGGCGATCTGTAGCCCATTTTTATACTGTCTTGTCCTAATTTGAAATCCAATTTGAAAGAGATGCTAGTTTTAATTCTTCATACTGTGATATTCTAGTTCGTTTTACTGTCATTCGTTGAAAGGTTATTATAATTTACATGTATTTATGGTCAATTTGAAACTTATATTAGTCACGATATGGATGAAATATTACCGATTTGAATGTAAATTTTAACTCACTCACTCATTAAATATATAACTATAGACAACAGTACAATAAAAAATCTTCCATTGGCTGATCTAGGCACCATGGAAATCAAAGTTTAATTAAATGGAAAGTAAGATAAAATAATGGGAATACTCATACCTGCCAAATACCAAATGAATCTCGTATTGCAAATGTTACAAGGTAAATATGTAAATCCTATAATAGGTATGGAAGCATAGCCTATGAGAAAACCATGAAATGTGGAAATCTGAGAACTGTCAGCTCTCTGCCATGTTAGACACATCGGGTGTCTTCAGTGCATTGTGTGCCAAAGAAGGGCATGCATGAACTATAGATCGATTTAGATCGTATAAAGTTCAATACGGATTCTTGTGAAGTCAATCTGATGACAGGATCTACTTCATAACATTTAATAATAACACTCCCAGAGGACTGCCTGTCACATTCACTGTCTAGAAGGTTCCATCGGTCATCTAGTGCTGCATCAGCTGCACCAGCAGGATCACAGTTAACTACAAGTGTTCTAACAATATTAGGCAAAGTTGAAAACACACGTTACGGTATCTGTCCTTAGCGGTACTTACTTTAATGATCAGACGACTAAAGTGCCTCAATGGTAATTTAGAATAAATGATCAAAACAAATTAATACTAACGATGCTTTGACTTCCCCGTGTAAGATTTCTTTTAAATTTTCTTTTTTTTAATTCATCAGGCCATCCTGTGGATTCAAAACAGAATTCCGTAAAATGAATAATCAAGAGAAGTCTTACCTGAAATCAAATTGGCGTCATATAAGTACAGTATGAATAATTGTACATCAATCAATCAGTTAACCGATCTTTGCCAAACATATGTGCGTGCCCGTATTCATTTCGCGCATTTGAGCATATGTCGACGGTGACGGTGAGTTTTTGAAATATAGTGAAGCAAAGTTTCGTCCACAGTTCGACGCTATAATATTACCATACACGTCACGTATAGTAGTAAGAACAAAAACGCAGTCGATCAGCGAAGGATGTTATACTGTATTGTCTGAAAGTCGATAACTGTGAGCACAGATGGTCTGTTTGAATTTTCCAGGCGAGTGAAAATAAGACATTTGATAGAAAATTGAGTTATATATGGGCAGATATCCTGCCACAGACGCTGTTCGGGGTCAGAATCAGTGGTGAAAGTCTGTTTAAGCATTCTAACCCTGACCTTGTACGGCAGCCAATTGCCTTATAGGTGGAACGTGTCGCGCACTTTATTATGCATCAATTCTCTGTGAATTAGAACCGGCGTTTATGGCCCGTAAACCTCACTGTATCACCAGAAAGGAATCTGAGAAAACTAGCAACTCAGGAGAATCCAATATCACAAGAACAGACAATGGCGATTGTTCCATCAAATAAGCTTTAAGTAGACAATCTGACGCATTGTTCGAGGACCGTGTTTTTATGACTGGAGAATAGGATGGTGTCGTGTATCCAGACACGGATTAAGAACAACATCAGCTGAGTCTCGATAAGAGCAGTTCTGGGCAACCGCTTTGCAATGCTATTGCTATTGTTTACAGTGACCTTTGGTGTACAAGCGCTTACAATCGATCAGATCTAGAGTTATCCATTGGCCCATACACTGGAAGGAATATATCAGAACTCTTTCAGATAAAATCGTATTTCTTCAAAGACAAAAATATGTTTCGCACAATATGAGAAAACCATACACAATATGCAGGTTCGTAAAAACAAAAGTACACTTTTATTTTTAAAAGAGCTGCAGTATGATGCAACTACGTACATTTCAGTGAGGGATGCGAGCGACATTCTCCAGATGTTAGACAAAACATACAGAAACACATCATGCATTAGTCTCTTTTACATTGCGCGAAGCAGGGTAGACAATATTACACACAATCACATTACACAACTGCAAGGAGGAAACACAGTTTGAGTGTGATAAAATGAATTATGATTTGTCTCTAGTCTTTATCATTTTCACGTATAGAGATACTATTGAAAAGGCGACATTTACTACGTTGAATTGTGCAATTGGTGTGGACTTTGATCACACTGGATATGAGCACAAAGAGAGTGAGTGAGTGAGTTTAGTTTTAAGCCGCACTCAGCAATATCCCAGCTATATGGCGGCGGTCTGTAAATAATCGAGTCTGGACCAGACAATCCAGTGATCAACAGCATGAGCATCGATCTGCGCAATTGGGAACCGATGACATGTGTCAACCAAGACAGCGAAACTGACCACCTGATCCCGTTAGTCTCCTCTTACGACAAGCATAGTCGCCTTTTATGGCAAGCACATGGGTTGCTGAAGACCTATTCTATCCCGGATCTTCACGGGTCGCACAAAGAGAGTGAGATGCTTGAAGATGTGTGCCGTTACAGCGTCGCCTCACGAATTTATTTTGAGAAGACACGCATCACTGTCTTTCGTGGCTGTCGTGATTCACTGTAATCCTATATATTCAGGTATGCGATTTCTACATGTCACCTCATTGCGATCCGTAGACCAATGCATGTCTTTCAGTGTGCTGAATAAGCATCTAGGAAGAGATACATATAACTATCACTGGCGTAGCTGCGATGTAACTGGGATGCCTTTTCAGGAAGTCTCAAAGAAAATGTTTTACTATACACAAGCGCTTGCATAAGCAATCACAATCCATGGTGGTCAGACGGATCCGAAGATATTCCTGGCATTAAGACATTCGACCAGGATTGAAACAGTCTAGACATAATGATTCTTCAGATATAAATTGGAAATTTAATTTGAAGGATATATTTCTTGAAATTTATTAATACAAATTTTGCTTCCCATCTTCTGTGAATGCCAGTCATGTAGATATAATGTAGAGCAGCTGGAAATAGCTGCACCCACTGGTGTGAAACCAGAGTATTATTGCAACAATTGACCAATAAACTTGAAAACACACATTTACGTTTAGTTTCGCCCCAATCAAGTTTATCCAATTCAACGTGAGCTATGTTTACGCAGTAGTGTCCAGTGCAGCAAGTTGAAGCACCGAAACGATACTATTACAAAAACGAGAAAGATATGAAATCATCAGGTTTCGCTTCAGATTAAATTACTTTATTTTTTACCACAAATTCTATTTGATTTGACATTCGGGAATATATTTATCTAGAATCTATGATTCGACAACTTCCATATGCCAGAAAAGAGGTCTTTTTTGGTAAGAGGAACTGGTGAAAGTAAAGCTGTGCAGACAAGAACTTACATGAACGCTGACAGCTTTTAATAATTACTGACTGAAAATTTAATGTCACGTTCTGACACCAGTACCTCTGGAAATGCCAAGTAAACGATACAACTGTTGAAACTGGACTGTAGTTATAAAACATACCTTTAGAATTTGCTATTGTTTTTTCTTTCATCCGCTTTCTTTTTTTATTAGATAGAAGTTGGGAATTTGTAATGTATCATTTCGGTGGACTGCTGATGTGTTTTTGCCACCAGATTACATAATGAACTATTTTCAAGGTTTTCCAACGTTTATCTTCCATGTAACAAGAGGCGTATGTGTTACAAATGAGTCAGTGTTGTAAATGGACACACCAAGATCGAATGAAACAATACAATACAATGGCTAATCACATGCGTTCGTCAAAGCCTGTTCTTTTTGGTCACTTGGATTACAACTCGCCGAACACAAGGACAGAACTGTGAGATAAAATGGTATATCTAATAACAAGGCTTATATGACAGATATTACAGACTCAGGTATTAACTGCAGTCTGCAGAATACAATTGTTTAAGCAACAGTAATATGTTCCAGTTCATAAGTCGTTGTTACATTATTGTTCTTGATCCAAAATCCAAGTGCCTTGTAAGTAAAATGGTGTATGTTTCTCAACTGCATTTCCACAAAATGCCCATATCTGACCAATATATTATACAGTTTAGTTTGTCTCGGGACCTGTCTATAATGACGATCCACTACAGCTACTATAAAGAGATGCGTCTCAGACACATATGCACCCAAATTTCGTGAGTAAACATATCGCATCAGTTCTTGTTCACACACATACATGAGCGCATCAAGAAGACAAATATCACATTCTGGAAAGCAATCTTTACTACACACATCTTAACATCGTTATACCACTTAAAAATTACATCACAGACTGTAACAATAAGGTACCTGTGATTGTTGGTTCGAGTCACAGATTCACCCTGAAATACTGTTTACGTACATACTGTTTAAACCAACTCACTCACTTATTCATCAGTGCATGTCTTCTGAGTGTTAAGGAAAGGTTAACACTCTACAAAGTGTATTCTCCATCAACGAAACTATAATACGACTACATCCTTCACCAAAGACAAAATGTCGTGTGTCAACTTTTCATAGAGGGGTCGACATATTTCTACTATTTGCTTAATACATTACTTGCAGACAACGACAAATCCTTCATTTGTCACACGGACTCGGTTTTATGACTGTGTAATCAATCCAGAGGGGACAACTTTTTTATTCTTAGGAACTTGAAATGAATTTTAGATGAAAACATCACATTAAAGCAAATTGTCAATATTATAAATAAAATAACCGATATCTTAAACATTACTGCATTGTAAGTACCCTCCTTACAAAATATTTCACAACATTTCCAGTAAAATATGGAACACAATTACCACTGACGTTCATAGTTGCATTCCCTGTATCAGATCATGACATGTGCAAAACTGAAACAAGGTGATAATAAGAAAATAATCATCTAAAATTGCTACATCATAAAGGCAAATTCGGCTTTGTAGGGATTACCGTTTTTGATAACCGATGGTGTCATCACTGATTTTCAGGTATATATTATTTACAGTTTCACCGCTATTTAACCAAATGAAATCCGTCTCTGATGATATTCGTGTGTATTGACTTTTTTGACACTGATCCGTTGCTGCTTTTGGTATGATGTAGTTTGTGAAATAATTTTAGACGCGTGGCTCAAAGTCTGCAGCACTCGGACGTGACTTTTTATATATGAAAACGTGCAATATGGAAGCACTCAGGCTAGGTGTTTTATCAATAACGTGCGTAGATAAGGAGCGCTATTACAGGTCATATGTTGAATAAACTCTATATCTTCTTTGTAAGGAGCGTTTCCTTTCCAGTTGAATCCCTATAACCATGAAGGCCTTTGACAAATGATATCTGTAATTCACTACGTGTTTGATCCACACTGATACATAATGAGGGAAATTATTACAGCTGAAGATTAAAGCCCGTCCTCAAACATGCAAGACGAACGTCTTTGATTAGCGCTACAACAATGCTGACACACGTGGTTGTCATGGATACGTAATTCTGCAGATCTTAATCACTGTAAATATCGAGACAGTGAAAGAAAAGGCAGAAAATCAAATAGTTCTTAGCGTGTTGGTTTATTGATAAAATATTTTTAATTTTGCATAGAGTTCAAAGCGGATTCTTGTAGAGCCAAGACGATGACAGAATCTCCTTCACAACATTTAATAATAACACTGCCAGTGTGCTACCTGTCATTCACTGTCCAGCAGGTCCCATCTGTCATCTAACGCTAAATCGACTACGCATCCAGGATCTCAGTTCAAGTGTTCCGTGTATTAACGATAGCTTCAAACACAGGTTTATGAAATTTGAGTCCAGTTTATTGATCCGCCTTCCATATTTTGTCCAACTTATCATACATTTAAGATTTCATTTAGAACAAAATAATGCATTTTGCCTGGTGCCCCTGTGGTTTCAAAACATAAAGTCTGTAGCCCACGTCAGATCTTGGCTGAATGAAATTGACGGCGATACAATGTAAATATTTGTACATTAAGCAATCTCCGATCATTAATCAATTATGGCTCGACAACCTACATGCTTGGAAGGAAATGGGCATGTTTGTTTGTCTATTTTTTCACAGACCAGTTATAAGACATTTCCTGATATAAGGTGATAATGAACTATGAAAATATTTTGAAAGAAACGTCTAATCCATGGTGTCTTATGGGTAACACTAGTGTATCACTTCCAATTCAGGTGCATTTAATGATGCATCAATTCCCTGCGAATTATGAAAAGGCCTTTTCCCCCGGAAAACCACACCATATCACCAGTATCTGAGAAACTAACTACTTAGGAGAAACCAGTATCACAATTGGTACATAATCACAATCGCGTCAAAGTCGACGCATTAATTGAGAGCCGTATTTCCACGACTAGGGAATAGGATGGTGTTGTATAACCAAACACGTATAAAGGCAATTACTTTGACATACTAACTCGTGATTGCTATTATTGCTATTCGGAATATATAACATTGTTTTCAGACCTCTTTCACAGAAAAACCTGTTCGAAGATATTTTGATTTGATTTGAATGACAAAAACATGCAAACTATGGGTACCCATTGAAACAGAAAGCAAACTACTGCTCTAAAAGCACTCTGCAATGCACGCAAGCATGCAAATCTTGCAAAAGGATACATAATATATTTACCAGATACGGGAATATTCTTCAAATTAAGGATGAAAGGTAGCATGTCCTCATTGTGTATTCTTATGATGGTAATTTACCACTGTCTGATAACTCCCCAGGTAATTATTCACGTTTCACTTCTGGCATTTATACAAGATACTTTCTGTAAATGCATTTTCGCTCACAGCACAATATAACATAACACTTAACAGTATAGTACAACGAAGTGGAGATTAGAATGGTATGGTAAGGTACAGTTTGGTATCAAATAGTACAGTTTTGTTATTGCTACTGCGTTGCCAGTAACTGGATTGCTGGGTTCAGACCTGATTTGCAGCCCGGTTTTATATAGCTGGAATATCCATGTTATGCAATAAGCAAACAAATATATAGAAATAAAAATATGTCAGTCAGAGGCCAATCAGTCTCCAATAATTGCTAAACAAAGCATTGGGGTGAAAGGAAACATTGTTGTCGAAAATATATAGAGAGATAACAGAATCAATCATCACAACAGATGCTCGTAAAGTTTGTGGTTGACAGACAGATCTGTATGTCTTCCATAGACTAGTAAAAATACCACAAAACTAGCTAGTGAGAGAGAGAGTTTTATTCAGTAAAGGGGCCACAGGCCCATTATACATCGGGTGAACAGAATATACAATCATTAGAGCACCGTACAACATCATGAGAGCTGCACAATTATACATTTGTGGGTACGAAGACTGAAAGAAATTTATTTCGTTTTTTCATGGCAAAAAAAAAGATATTTTGCAAGACAATTTATAATATACGTATTCTTTGATGTAAAGAACTGAGCTAATTTCACTTCAGACACGGGGGGACACGGGACACGGGAGATATACACGCGAACATTCACCCGTCAAACCATGCTGCAGACTTCGGTTTTAATTAACTCATTCACAAGTGTGTGCAAAAGTTTCTCTTCTGCCAGCAAGGTGCGTGACTGCCCATCGTGATCTATTATATGCTGGCTATAAACCTCTAAAATACTCATTTGACGTTTCATCAATTCAAATACATAGGTTGTCAGTCCATTCGCCCTGTAATATCTCATGTTGCATGCTAATATATCAATGTTTATTTGATTATTTACCACTGTCTTTTCATGCACATCAGCTGGAATATATACTTATAAAATATCTTGTGAGCGGTAGTACGTCATTACAATCGGTGTTGTAGAATAACGCTACCGGACACACGAGGGGCATTACAGTACCTTACTTGATAGAATAAAATACTCACATTAGTAACGTTTGTCATGTGTTAAGATAACGCAGCATCTGGTGTCAGTTGTTTTAACAACTATGGTCATGTGAATTCAAGTGTATTCGTAACAAAATTGGCAGTTTGGTTTTTTGGTACGTTGCTGTGAAATAGGGAAACATCGGTCCGACAAGGCAGTGCTTGTAACCCGTTACTCGAAGATACATTGCATTCATAATATCCACGTCTTGAGGATTTGGTCTAGATTTCATTGTTGAAAAAGGCAACAATAATGAACTACCGACTGATAAATAATCTTCTTTAAGGTCAGTGGCTTATGACCAGTTTGGAACATTATAACACAGGCCTCGGCTGAGAGCATTTATAATAAAACCAAATCTTCCTGGCAACCTGAACCGCAGTGCTAATACCCTTGCCAAAATCTTGAAATATTTGAAGATTTATGACATGCAATATTCATGCGAAGGACGTATCTCGCTGTTTCAATAATGTCGTTTCCTAATTCATATCACGGCAGAACTGATAAATTCAGAGTGTTTTATGGGGAAGAAGTAGAAGTAGGACACTCAATTAGAGGAAATCTATTGCAAGGACTTGCATTTCTTAAAACAACAAAAAAAGCATAGTAAATTATAAATGTGCATCTTTAAAATGATAAAGCATCTGATTACAAGCATTGTCCATCAGAAGTGGTGTCACAGATTTGTTGAGTGCTGCTGATGGTATTTTCTAGTAGCACGAACATTACAAAATTCTATGATTTCAAGTGAAATTGTGTGTTGGCAGGAGATATACTCATGCCAATAATGGTTGTCACCCCCTTCAATTTTTTTAATTGGAGAGGGGGTGTGGGTGGGAGTGTAAGGTGTGTGGGGGTTGGGGTGGGGAGGGGGTTACAACCATTATTGGCATGAGTATATTATAAAGGTGGGAAAGGAAATCAGGAAATATATTATACTGTTTATGTTCAGATTGAGCATTCACATATTTAACAGCTGTAAATAAATCTTATTATTCAGCTGTGAACGTTTAGCTGTCATTTGGTAATCTGGATGATATGGTTCTGAATCCAGTGACAGTAACACTATCAACTACGTCACCATCATCAGATAAATCAGTACAAAAATATTTATAAGTATCGTTGTCGTCTCGTAATGATGTTATTCTTGCTGGTACATGCTTTGTGTCTGATTTCTTTAGGTTTGTTCAAGAAAGCTAAAATCAACAACATGAGTTTTTTCAACTTTCCTTTAAATATTTCAATGCCTGTATCGCAAATCTTGAGTTTCCCTCAACCCATTTAACTTACTTAATATTAGACAATCAAATAAGAAAGATCTAACATGGAATAGGCCATGTGCAAGCAAACTGGAGACATCACAACTGCATCTTCAGGAAACCAAATGCAACATGTTCCGATGTATGTATGATAAAGACCGACAGTTTACCTTTCTTGTGGACAATATAGGTAGTATTAGCAGCACAGTGAACATATATTACATTGTTTTATCATCCGGTCGGTCTTCAGGCAAAAACATCAAGAGCACGAATAGGTATACATTTCACCGTCTTTCATATTTCGATAAACAGAAAGCTATTACATATTTAATATCATACTTTCCTTTCAATGTAAATAAACATTTATTGAAATTAAGCGCTCCATGAAAGGAGAGGAGAAACTACGTGTATGCAACTGGGAAACTGTTTCCAGTGTTCTTATCTACAAATAAATAATGGAAAGTCTTTAGGTTTCAAGGTTTTCTATTATAGAGATATTTGGAAAAAGTGGAACGACCGGCAGAATGATGATACTGCTTACATTGAATTTTCTCGTCGGTGTGCACTTTCATCACATTGGATATTGACACCAAGGCAGTGAGATATATAAAGCTGAGGGCCGTTACGATGTGGTCTCGCGAATTTGTTTTGAGAAGACATGCATCAATAATGTCTTTCGCGGCTGTAGTGATTCCCTGTAATCCCATATATTCACACTGGCGATTTATCCAATGCACGCCTTTCACAACACTGGACAAGGGTCTAGAGAGAGCTGAAAATAAATATCCCAGGGGTAATTGCGTTGTCATTGGGATGTCTTTTCAAGAAGTCGGACAGAAAATATTTTGCTCAAAACGCCACTTTGGAATAACAGATCTAATGCCGTGTCTTGCCTGAAAACTTGGGATCCTCTATACACAAGCGCTTGAAATATTCATTTAGAATCCATGGTGGTCAGACGGGTTCCAAAGAGTTTTCCGACGTTAAGACATCTTGATGGGGATTAAAAGCAAAATCTGATAGAAGCGTCTAGACTTACATATTGTGAGGACGTACGTTGAAAATCTAAGTTGAAGGATGTATTACTTGATAATAATGAAATACAAATTTAGCTCAATCTTAGTTCTATCTGCTGTGAGGCTGAAAATGAAGAGGAAATTAGATACTACTTGTCAGCACAACTGTAGTGGATGACAGGGAATAAACGGACATCAAAGAAAAGCACCTACTGATGGGAAATCTAAACAGCAATAACTGACACATGTTTAAGCTTATTATGAGCCGATACTAAAACGTTCGGAAGGATTCCTACTTTTGTCAACTTGATAGTTTGATAACAAATTGAACAGCACGTAGTGTCTTTTCTAACAAAACTAAACTAAAAATAATTTCCACAATGTTAAGACGTATACAGTGAACCCTGCCAACACCGGCACCTGTCTAATCCGGCACACTGTCAAAACCGGCATAAACTTTTGGTCCCGCCATTTTACAACGATGTTATGATCATTAATTGTAACTGTAATTAACATTATCTAAACCGGCATGGGTATGAGCAGTCCAATCAAGGACCCATAATCCAATACACTAATTGATCCTCTTGTCACGCAAGATAATCAGGAAGTTGTGATTGTGCGGTGAATCAAACCCTCTAAGCCGGCATGGGTATGAGCAGTCCAATCAAGGTCCCTTAATCCAAAACCCCCTCTCGGCACGCTAGATAATCAGGAATAAAGAGGCTAGGGAGTGTAAATGGCAGCCATGTTCGAAAATGATCGTGACTGTCTAATCCGGCACCCTGTCGAAATCCGCATTTTATGTCGGTCCCATGGGGTGCCGGTTTAGATAGGTTTCACTGTATTTGAAAATGTAGAGACCGTCTGAGCGACGGTTGCTAACCCGTTTATCAATCCGAGCCTGTACACCGTGTACGTAGTCATTACGTCATTGATACAGCTGTTTAAAAACATTTAGGTGGTTGCGAATTTCAGTCAAATCACCAACATCTTTCCCCAGACATCATTCCCTGAATCTAATCATATCAATGTGTACAATCACTGCTGACAAATGGTTCCTGAAGACCTGAAATGATATAATTCATTTCGCTGCAACTCTCTTGTGTTTTAGGTTGTGTAGCAATATTCCAGCTATATGGCGGCGGTCTGTAAATAATCGAGTCTGGACCAGACAATCCAGTTATCAACAGCATGAACATCGATCTGCGCAATTGGGAACCGATGACATGGGTCAACCAAGCCAGCACGCCTGACCAACCGATCCCGTTAGTCGCCTCATACGACAAGCATGGGTTACTGAAGGTTCATTCTAACCCGGACTTTCACAGGTTCTTGCGCACAAGAGCTCGTTTCGACTGTAGGTAGTTATCCACTTGTTATCGCCTTTTACAATGAGTCATGATGGAAGTTTTATTCTGTCATCTGATTTCGCTTGGATTCATGTGACATAGGTACGAGCAAGTAAATCCGTAGGCATGCAAGTCTTACTAATGATTATGTCAGACTTTATGACTGAAGCTTATTGTTTCCTTCGTAAAGGAATTAAAAGTAACTACCTAATTTGTAAACGAATAACATGTGTATAGCTTTGGTTGATGACTTCATTAACCGCATGTAACATTGATCCCCTCACGGAGTGAAAACCGTCGTATGTGTTTGTCTTATCTTGGGGTATGCTTT